CATCCAAATAATGGATATTCGCTCGGTTGCACTAATAAGCCCAAAATGGCAACAAGTTACAAACAGTTCTTCCAAACACAAGAGAAAAGTACAAAATACTTCTCTTTCATACTGAACCGCAGATCTAAAGGGAATTACAAAAGAAACCCTACAACAACGGACTGAAATCGCGATTACAAGAAAACCCTTGTTCTCACAGAAATCGCTCAGATAACAGATTATAGAGGCTAACATCTACCGCACGCCGTATAAAGCAATGCCGTAAAAAATGTTCACTTTTTACGGCGTGCAAAATATGCTGCCTGCGAACATCGTTAATAATTATACGGCGTTCAATTGCATGCCTTAAAAAGTGAACATTTTTTACCTCGTTCATTTGAACGACGTGATTAACTTTTTACGGCAGGCTTTTGTACGCCGTAAACTTTAATTTCATTTTTAAAAAATTGTTCATTTATTTGATTACCAACATACCTATAATAATTACAAAACAAAATTCCATATATATGACCCAGGTTTTCCATATTTTCAATAAGCATAAATATTGAGCGCAGTTTAATACAACATATCAATGTAAATTTCATGTCAATACTTCTCAAAAATATAAGCGACTTAATTTTCATTAGAGAGTACTACAAATAGGAAATCCCTGATGCACATGCAAAGCTTGCAAGTTACATTGCGGAGAGTTGGGTTGCTGAAACAACAACACAGAAGAAGGTGATGAAGCCTGTACCAACTGTGCAGAATGGCGCATTTGAGTATATCCCTGAACTTAAGCAGACCAATTACTTCCATAATTTGGCAATTGAACACTGCCACTGTTTTCCCGGAATTGGTTAGCAGCTGGGCATCTTCCATATTGCAGGCTAGAGGGAGTTTCTTGACCTTGCAAGACCTTACGGAATCGAGACGATTCAACAAACCCTGTGCCTACAGAGGGGGTCTCTGAGCCTTCCTGAAGATGCCTAATGTTTCCGCCTACTCCAGAAATCATTGAACTTCTAAAACCAAGAAAGCACCTCATTTTTGATAGACATTGACTTTGAGCTTGACCACCATGCAGCGTACTAAAACAAAAAAATTCTTGACCTTACAAGACCTCGAACCTTGAAGGTTCCTCAAAATCCGAAGCTTCATTCCCATCTGCAAGATGTATAGACTGCTTAAGATTTCCCACAAAAGAATATTCAACTAGTATAACACAAACATGTAAAATGAAATGGAAGAGACCTCCTTGAATTGGAAAATGAGGTTTTGTTGTCGGCAAGCTGCCCCTAGTTCTCTTTGTACCAGGTACCAAAAAGCTGCTGGGTCCATATGCCGAACCGGATGGTTCAATCTCCCAAGGTGACACCCTAGTATGCCGATTACCTTCCATATCATCCCACCTCACCTGCAAATGTCAGTAAACAAGACACTAGAACTTTAGATGTTACAAAGAAAAGACTTCAGGCATGACAACAATTTCACTGTTGTACAACAAACAATAATACAGAAAGCAAAATGAGCATAAAATGCTCAATTTATAAATGCATGGACTTCCTCTTCTAGATGAACATAAGGATCTACTGCTGATGAAATACTATATTCCACATTGGCAAATTATAAATTTGTTCCCTTTCAATAAGCAACTAGAGATTTGTTAATTTGGATAAATGGAATCTACTTATGTAAGAGAATGAGGAAGAGTTGCTTAGCACATCTTGGAGCAGATTGCAAATTGACAAATAGTTCAGATTTTATTCGGCTTCTATTTTGCTTTTATTATTTATTGAAGGAGGTATGTACAACCTCATTTACTTTTGTAAGCTGTTATTTTTTCTGCTCTTTTAAAGGAGATAATATCTACATGATTAAAAGTTTCTTTGACAAATTTTCTCTCTCTTCTAACTATAACTCTGGAGGTAAGATTTATGTCC